TGACAGAGATCTGCTCCTCAAAGTCATGTGACCTGTTCTTCCAACCCGAGCCAAAGAAGAATGTGAAGAAACCGCGTGTCTGGAACATGAAGTCTGTCAAGCAGCAGTTAGGCCCCGATGTATCACAGCACATCTTCTTCATGCACGCTCTCCTGGGATGTGATACTACTTCACGCGTGTATGGCATTGGCAAGGGAGCTTCCTTCAACAAATTCAAAACCAGTGCGCACTTTCGTGAACAAGCCAATGTGTTTGATGTAGCTTATTGAAATGTGTGTCATTGGATTCCTGGCCCCAGAAAATGTATGTTTAGCCCTCAAAATCAAAGCCATAAGTCATTTAGAAGCGGAGATATTGGGAAATATCAGGTTTATGGCGGTCATTTTGGAAAATGGCTGCCATTTCGGCTTTTTGGCCAGGTTTAGCTTATCGAAATGTGTTTCATTTGATTCCTTGTCCCTGAAAATGTATTTTTAGCACTTAAAATCAAAGCTCTATGGTATTTAGAAGCAGAGATATAGGGAAATATCAGTTTTATGGCGGCCATTTTTCAAAATGGCATTTCCAATGACACACATTTCAATAAGTTAAACCTGACCAAAAAGCCGAAAACGCAGCCAAAACCAGAAAAATGGCCGCCATGGAACCTTCCACCACCAGGATTCCTTAACAGTTTTGATATGTTATAGTGGACACCTCCAAGAGCACAAAACAGTTGAGACACTTTCTGTTGCAATTTGTCCGAGGTCATATCAAATAATGGACTGGGCTAACCGGTATGGCCGGCGGCACAGGATTGTAGATAATATTGCTATTTTTAGTGCAAGTCGCGGAACCCTCTATACAGCTGTTTATTTGATCTGATACAGTATTAAGGTATGAGTGGGAAGTGACATACTTACACAAACATGACTAGAAGAACAACATTGGCAATTCGTAGCAGCTCTGAGAAAGCGTTAACAAACAGATCGACACCAAGGAATAGACACTGTAGGTACAGAATCGGACGGTAGCGGCTAATGTTCATCCTGGCGTGTTCACTTCACCTAAAGTAGCAGCCAAAAACGTTTTAGTCAAAAGATGCAATTAATTCCCTGGTCTCCTCTAATAGTAATAGTAATACAACTAGTACAAGTAAAATTATGAAAGTAAGTAAGTATACATTGCTAACTTGCTAACACTAACGCAGATGGGGTAGTTGTCGTATCAGGTACTACAGATATGTACCCGAGGTAGTTTTAGGTTGTTTAGTATTAATATTATGTTTATATTTTTATATGCGGTATGTTTAGGGTTAGGGTTAGGTTTAGGGTTAGTGTTAGGGTTAGGGTACACTTCTTTTTGATATCTGCCGTGTTATAATGAGCATAATACTTATAGAAATTTATTAGTTATCAGACATTAAAATTGATCCAAAGTTGCAACTCTGTGCCCATTTTTTTTTTTTGGTTGTCTTTTGTCATTTTGTCCGTCAAAATCTCTCATTGCGAACGTCCACGTGGACACTACTAATCCGCTACCCTAACCCGGACGCAAAAGGAGCTTCAACGACGCCGGCTACGTACCTCTAGCCTACTGCGTATAAGCATCCCGCTGCGGGTGTTGTTTCAATGTTTGTTTTGCGCCGCCGCGACCGTACTCTAGTACTTAAGCCAAAGGCGTCGAAAGCAATAAATAGTGCGCGGCTTTTGGTGAATTCAGGGCGAGCCCGGCGGAGAGCGGAAGCCACCCTAGGGGGGTCTGGGGGCATGCCTCCCCGTCGTAGATAAATTTGAAATCTACAAGTAAAGGGGTGGCTCTCGGTGATTCTGAGCATTGTGATTTAGGCACAAAAAAGTGTAGTTTTCACTGTAATTTGAAAAAACTGCTGTTTGAAGATTTGTTGCTTAACATAGAATTAAATATTCAATAATGACCAAAAACTGCCAATTTATTTTTCTCACTTTAGACGCGGGAAATTATAATTTGGTGTAAACTTCCTGAAAGACATCCGATGTAGACGCGGGAGCAGAGGAATGTGCATGCCAGAGTCTGGATCATAAAATTTTTATAGCACAGGGTGACCTGCAGGGGCGTGCTACAGGATATTGGACCAGGGGGGGGGCTAGCCGTAATAGCAATATTGCGAGCACGCGAAGGGGGGGTCTCGGGGGGCCCTCCCTAGAAATTTTATTTAAATTAGACCCCCTCAGCATGCGTTTTCGCGCGAGCAGGCGGGGGATCGCACCCCCATGGACTCCCCCTGTAGCACCGACCCTTGAGCCTGACTGCTCATCCTGACCCTGCGTCTCCGCTTATAGGGCCTAGATTACACGATATACATGATATATGTACCGGCCAAAAGACGGTATAAATTATTGAAAGATTTGCGTACGGAAAATTATGCGCCTGAAAAAACGATGCCGCCGGCGGTTGCCGCCGGCGCCCAGCAGTGTCGTACGCCTTGCTATAGTCCACATACAGGTTGGCCACTGCAGCGGGCAACTGTACGCGGGCTATAACCCACCGGCTGGTGTGGACTAACGTCAATTATATTCAACCCTAGCAATCCGTTTGGAGCTATGGGGCTATAGTTACTAGAGTAGAGCTTAAGGGCCCGACCATAACCGAATATTCTGTCCCATAGTAACCTGTTTTTATATTTTGGTACGGTGTAATGGGGACCGAACGGGGTTCATTAAAATGTCTGAGATAGCGATGGCCAAATGCATGCGCTGAGAAGTGCGCTCGGCTACGACCGCTAGCCTATGGGCCGCCCGAAAAAAACTTACCGTTCCCTCTCTACAATGCCTTTACCTTGCTACTGATATGTGACTTACTTCATTCTTAAAAAATTGTTTTTCAGAAAGCCGCTTCGTTCATTTCTAAATTTCATTCGCCATTTACAACAATGCAGACCAATCAGAGTGAGTCTATCAGCCCTCCTGCCAGCCGCCACCGATACCAAGCGAGAACCAGGCTATTGTAAGACTCGCTCCTGATTGGTCTGATTGTCTTGTAAATGGCGCATGTAATTTAGAAAGTTGAACGAACGGTGTTTATGAAAATTAATCTTTTAAGATGTAATAACACGATTACTGAATGTATAAAAATATCAGTAGCAGGTAAGCCATTAAGAAGGGGAACGTCATAGGTTATTTTTCTCGCGCAATTAGCGGCCGTACGAGGCCGCGATGTCTCAGCGCAGCCATCTTGCATGCGATCTCCACGAAACTTTCAAAGGACCCCGCTTCCGTCCCAATGATAACCTCACAAAATATAAAAGTTATATGGGATCAGAATGTATTCGTCTAAGCCACCGTAGTATCAATAAGTAACCCAAACATCAGGATAGGGTTGGGAGGGACAGATAGATACACAGACAGGTAATGTAAACCTTATCCTGTGTTTGGTTACATTATTTCTTAGAGCACCGACCTAGCTCTAGTATATATATAGCCCGCATCAGTTGCCGCTCCCAGTGTGCAACCTGTCGCGGGCTTATACGTACTATGAGCTAAGCCACCAGCTGTGCGACGGATGTCCAAGACAGAGAGCGTGTATCACGGATGCGAACGCGATCGCGAAGCGCTCGCACTCTGACGACATGCGCTGAGCGCCGCGCGCTAACTCCAAAGCTGTCTCGCGCCAGCGCGCGAGTTTTTACAAGTGGCGACGTGCAATCTGGCGGAATGGGGAAGTCTTACATATTCTGACTTCTATTTGCAATCTATTTCACATTCATCTTCATTTTCATTCATTCATTTACTTCTAAATTCAATTCGTATCAATTTCGTCTGCTAATTCGTTTAACTAGTACTGTTTCGAAGACATTTAATCTCGACAATTAAATCTGCTGAGAGTAACCCGCCATGGGGGGCCGCCATTTTGGCGCTAAGCCAGGGCGCACAGCGACATGCGATCGTGTGTCGTTCAAGAGGCGCTGCTTTCGTGCATCGAGCGCGACGCTCTGTTGAACACGCCCTCAGTGCTAGCCGCGAAATTGTCCCTGCACTTGCCGAAATATTGAGATAGTTATGCGTATGGCATGAGCGCACTTCGCATGCCGTCCCGAAACCCGACCAATCACAGCTCGTCTTGGTGTGCTGAAATTTTGACATATATTGATATAGGATGGTATGTGCAATGCGCATTCGCATATTATGCTCAAATATGGCGCATTCCCTTCAGCTAAGGACAGCCAGCTGTGAGAAGGAGGAGGGGAGAAGCGAGAAGCTGCTGGAGAAGCTGGAGGGGGAGAAGCTGGCTGGGAGGAGAAGTGGTGGAGGAGGAAGGGGAGAGGTGGTGGAGGAGGCAGGAGGGGAGAGAGCTGTGAGATAGGGACAGATGAGAAGGAGGGGAGAATGAGTGGTGGAGGAGGAGGCGGAAAGGCGAGAAACTCGCGTGTGGTTGAGAAGGAAGGAGCGGGAGAGTGTAGAGAAGGCAGAGCGTGAGAAGCTGGGATGGAGAAGAGGAGGAAGGGGAGAAGGGACGAGCGGTGGCGAGGAAGGGAGAGGTAGAAACGTCGGTGTGAGGAGGAGGAGGCGGAGAATGCGGTGGGTAGGAGGAAGGGAAGGAGGGGAGAAGGGAGCTGGTGGAGGAGGAGGGGAGCAAAGGGAGAAGCGAGGTGGAGAAGGAGGAGGGAGCTGGTGCAGCAGGAGGAGGGGGGAGAAGGAGAGCTGGGGGGGAGAGAAGGAGGAGGAGCAGCTGGTGGAGAAGGAGAACGGGGAGAAGGAGAAGGTGGTGGAGAAGGAGAAGGGGAGCAAGCTGGTGGAGAAGCGAGAGGGGGAGAGGCAGAAGCTGGCTGGAAAGCGAGAAGGGGAGCAAGGAGAATCTGCCACCACAGCCCCATCTCCCCCTCTGTACATCAATTAAGAGCGCTGCCGCAGCCGCTTCTCCCTTTCTCCCTTCCTCTTCGTCCACCAGCTTCTCTTCCTCCTTCTCAGCAGCTTCTCCCCTCCTCTATTCCCTCCACACCTTCTCCTTCTCCCTTCTCCTTCTCACAGTTCTCCCCTCCTCCTCCTCCAACCACTTCTCCCTTCTCCCCTGTTTCCTCCACAGCTCCCTTTCTCGCCCTACCTTCCACCCGTCCTCTTCTCACAGCTTCTCCCCTCCCCACACTCACCCTTCTCCCCTTCCTCATTCTCGACAGCTTCTCCTTCTCCCCTTCCTACATTTTCACCAGCTTTCCCTCTTCTTCCAACAGCTTTCCTTTCTCCCCTTCCTCCTTCTCCACAGCTTCTCCCTCTCCGTCTCCCCTCTCCTTCTCCCCTCTCGCCTCTCTCACCAGCTTCTCCCTTCTTCTCCACCTGCTTCTTCCTGTTCCCTTCCATCCACCAGCTCCCTTCTCCCTTCCTCCTTCTCCACCAGTTCTCCCCTTCTCCTCCCCCTTCTCCCTTCTCTCCCCTCTCTTTTCCACAGTTCTCCCCTCCTTCTCCACCGCTTTCGCCTTCTGCCCCCTCCTCCTCACCAGCTCCCTTCTCCCCTCTTCTCCCCTTCCTCTTCCACCAAGCATCTCCCTTTCCTCCTCTCCACCAGCTTCTCCGCTAATTATCCCCTTCCTCATTTTCTCACAGCTCTCCCCCTCCCCTTCCTCCACCAGCTTCTCCCCTATCCTCTTACTCACCACCTTCTCCCTTCCTCCTTCTCCACCAGCTTCTCCCATCCTTCCACACCTTCTCCCTTCTCCTTCCTCCTCTCCACCAACTTCTCTCCTCCGTCACACCTTCTCCTTTTCACACAGTCCTTCTCCCTCTGACTCCCTTCCTCTTCTTCCACCCAGCTTCTCCCGGGGCTTCGTTCGGTCACCGCATTACTCCCTTCTCCCTTTCTCCACCAGCTTCTCCTCCTCCTCCGCCAGTTTCTCCTTCTCCCCCTCACTTCTCCACCAGCTATCCTTCTCCCCCTCCTCTCTTCCTCCTTCTCCTCACAGCTTCTCCCCTTCCTCCTCCTCACACCTTCTACCTTCCCCTTTCTCCATCATCCGGTTCTCCCTTCTCCCCTTTCTCTTCTCCCCAGCTTCCCCCCTCTCCTTCTCCACCAGTCTCTCCCTTATCCCCTCCTCTCCACAG